GGGTGGATGTTTCTTGTGGCACGCCCCAGCTAGGTGCAAGTCTCTGAAGCCCTAGAACTTGCAAGTGTTTTTCCGAGACCCGACAAAAAGCTAAGCCAGTCCTCTGTTCTCCTGTTGTCCCGAACAGGAAAGCGAGGCAAAGTCGCGCCGGAGTGGGATGAGGTGTGCAGGGGGTGGGGGTGGGGTGGTCACAGATGCCCAGGACAAACAGCCTGCTACATTCAGGACTGCATTTTTTTTAATTGTTCACTGACAAGCTGAAGAAGTTTGTTTAGTACTGAATACCCTAGGAACAAAATCCTTTTGAAAAGAGAGCTAAGTCGTTTCACGCCACCAAAGTGCAGATTTGGTCAAGAATGCCTGATGGGACAAAGAGGCGCGGTGCGTTAGCGCGGGTTTCTCAGAGCTCAGCAGCAAATACCCGGGGCGACCAGGAACAGTGGGGCGGGCTACAGGAGACCCGCAAGATCCTCAAACCTCAGCACCCGTGGCACTCCAGTCCTCAGTTCTCTCGGCTGCCCCACTATCAGCCCTGGTCGCTGGTGAGCCGGCGTCCCGCAAGAGAAATAGTGAGGGACCCGGTAGCACCGGAGAGCGAAGGGATAAGGGGGAAGAAACTCTGACTGCAGGCGCTCAGGGCAAAGCCCGGCTCAACCGCGTTCCTGCAGGCTGAGTACAGTTCACTCTCCGAGTTGGGGCGGCGGGTAGCTTTTTTTTTTTTTTTTTTAGAGCTTGGGAAACCTTCAGAAGCTACTGGGTACGTTCCTTCTACCTCCCATCCGGTTTGGTAAATATTAACAAACTAACTATGGCGCGGTTATTTTCGGGAGTGTGTTTGGTGGGTTGGAGGGGGGTGATGGCTCGGGGGAGGGTCCTTCTCTCCTTGAGCCTTCTCCTCCCCCCACAAGCCAGCCCCACCTCTCTCTCTCTCTCTCTCTCTCTCTCTCTCTCTCTCTCTCTCTCACACACACACACACACACACACACACACACACACCTGCTTAACAACACAAGGAATCAAAAATCAATATTGTTTTTGTCACCCCTCTGTCTCCTTTTAACTCCCTCAGCAACTCGGGTGCCACTGAAGCGAATTGTGGATTTATGGAGGGAAATTAACATAAATTATTGCAAAACCTGCAGCCGTGTGTGGTCCAGCTTGTGGGAAAAGAGGCTGTAGCAAACTTTCAGTGGAGAAAGGTGGTGGGCGGTGGGCTTGACAAGGTGCTGAACTGTCCTGCTGGAGGGGATTTTCATTTGGTTGGCACATGGGGTATAATTGACTCGTGTGTATTTTATACAGTTTTCCCAACAACCCTTTAAGCCCCCAGGTCGGATGTTACCCCCCTCCCACCTCCACCAGCTTCTGTTGGCTTTGGGTTTTGTACAATAGACTCTGATGCACTTTTTCAAGATTTCTGGTATAATAGCAGTCGAGATGCCTTAAACAGCTGGCAACTGCTCCTTCCCTCCCTGGGTCTTTGAAGATCTCTGACCGCACCCGAGGTAGAACTTGTAGAAATGCCCATCAGTTAAATGCGCCCCTCAGTTCCTTTCACCTCACAAGGCAAACTTAGGCGATTAACTTCTGTTTACCTGATTAGCCCTGAACGCGGGCAATGAGACCCAGCTCCTTTCTCGACTGTAGCCAGACTCTGAAAATTCCTCAAACACCAGTTCCTACTCGTATTATTGCATGAACTCGACGGTGACAATTTTCCCCAGAAAGATGAACAAAGATTTATTCCAAGTTAGGGTTTTTTTTTTTCCCGTGAAGGTTTTTTTTTTTTCCACTTTTAGAATTTAGTTAATCTTCCACTTGCTCTGAGCAGAGATTTCCACAGCCACACAATGGCCCCTTTTGCAGGACAACAAAATGCCAATTGTTAAAATAAGAAAACATTGTTCGCTCCCATTCCTCACTATTAACACGCACCCTTACGGCGTAGGAAAGAATCTTGCTGGTTGTCACTGGGGGAAAGCCACAATCTCTTACCATCTCGAATGCAACCACCATAAACATCTACCTTTGCATTTCAGTATGAACCCGCACACATGTTTGCTTTAAAAAAATTATCTTTAAAATACTCGGGGACTTCCACGCTGGTACCTTTCTACTCCGGAGCAATCCGGTTTCATTTAAAGCAGCTCTCGCTTTAGTGCCTTCAAAGCCAGCTGTATCTGGAACTAGCAAGACCTGGATTGATCCTCCACTCCTCTTCAAACACCCCTCGGGTTCTCCACCCCTTTGCGCTCCCAGCTCCTCCCACCACAAGCCCTAGGGCCTAATCCGGGCACGCGCAGAAACACCCCCAAACCTCAGTCCGTTAGCGGCGGTAGCGCGCGCAGCTCAGGCCAGCGGGACTGCCTTGGCTCAACCGGGCCTAGGGTACTGCTGATTTAATCTTCGGCGAAAAGAAATCCATATATCTGCTCTGCTCTAGCCTTGCCCCAAGAGATAGGTCAACGTCCCCACCCTTACCTCCCTGCTCCCACCTCCCCCTCCTGGTTATTTTTTCCGAATTAAGAAGGTGACTTGAGTCTTTCTTTCAAGCACTCTGTTAATATTGAAAAACGTGCGCTTGCATCTAAAGCGCGGCAGCCCAGGCGCCAGAGCCATTTCAATATTAATGAAATTGTTTAATCTCCTAAATTCGTCGTGTTTAAGTTACGTTTTGGTGAGTTATTGACCAGCTTCGAAACTGTGGTTAATGAAGTTATGTGAGTGGGTGGGAGGGTGGTGCGCGAGCGCGCGCGTGCTCGCAAACTGGAAGGTCTTAAAAATGCTATCCACAGACTGATGCTCTACTGTCACTCAGAGTGCAACAAACTTCACACCAGAACTCTCAATCTCCTCCTGGAGGGGAGGGGGAGAGGAAAAGGAGAAGGAAAGAGGCTTCCATGCTTTAAAGACGGTTCTGTGTAGACTGTAGTAAGTATTGAGTATTTAACACGATGATATGGGGTTCTTTTTAAACCCCAAAAAGGCCTGGGAAAGCGCTGAAAAGCGTGGCAGCTCGTGGCTGGTACTCATTGCGTGCATGCGGCTGGCCTGACTCACTGTTTATTTCGTAGCAGTTTTGATGATGATGACGACGAAGATGATGATAATGATAATAATGATTCATTTAATCCTCACAAGGCATATCCGAACTCAAAGGAGCCAGCTACCCTCACCAGGCCCAAAGATCGGAGCCACGTTCCCACCTCCACCCAGAAAACTCGCCGGTTCTTCGCAGGTCTCATCCGGCGCTGTTTGTCTTTTCTGGGCGGTCTAAACTCTAACGAAACTATTCCCACGTAAAAGGAGGAAGGAGGAACTATAAAATGCTGACCTACTGACTTCTAGAAACCACCAGGCGTCCCTAGTACCTGGAGAAAGGAAGAGACACCCCCCCCCCACCGCGATTAGACAAACTCAGGCCCTCCCCAGGTCTAAATGCTGCCAGTCTCAATGTCCCCTGGGCCTCCTTGTGCCCATCAAATTGCTAAAAAACTGATAAAGCAAAAACCTAGTACCTCCTCAGTTCTTTTCTTTTCCTTTAAACAAACAAAAAACAAAACTTGCACTTTGGCTTGAAGAGATGACTCAGCCACTAAATGCTAAGCTCACAACCAAATATATATATATATATATATATATATATATATATATTCCCTAACACATTCAAAACAGACTCTTCCACCCAGCTCTCCGAATATTTATGTCGATATGTGTCTATTAACCTTATCACCTTTTTAAAGCGACATGCTTTGAGTGTGCAGCTTTGAGACCAAATCAAACTTCGACCTGCCTCTTGCAGGACTCAGGGGTGGTGGTGGGGGGGCGTATGTTTCCATTCTAAAACCCATCCAACCAATCCCGGGCAGTGCCAAGTAAAGTATAAGGGTCGCCCTTCAAGAGAAAGCCTGTGCTAGAAGTTAGCTAACAATACAAACCCGATACAATGCGGAGGAAACAACACCCCAGCCGAGCAATTTCCATGTCAAACACCGTCGGCGCGGCAGCTAGCTCAGAGCGTGAATGGTCGCCTGGCTCCCGGCTCGGCGGCGCGCCGGTCCGCTCGTACCTTCCCAACGCGCTTACTGGCGGCCGCGGCCCGCTCCCCGCGGGCGGCAGAGGCTCTTCCCGGGTCGCCCCGTCTTCTGCTGGAAGTGATTCCTATTGGCCAAGGTGTCCATGTAAATAGGTGTGAAAGAAACCAGCGCTGGCCAGGCTCTCTCCCCTCTTCCTCAGTCCCCTCCCTCTGCAGCCCCCGCTGCCCCCCTCCTCTTCCTCCTCCCAAGGCGATTGTCATACGATAGCTAAGAAGTGGCACATTAATGAAGCGCCGCTACAGGGGTCTTTTCTGTTCCTGTCACCGCTTAAAACTATCAGATGTTTCGAGGGTGGACATGGAGGCAGCCACCTAGCTCAGCGGAGCAGCGTACGACACAGCAGCGTCCTCTGGATCCCCGAGGCAGCGGCAACTGCCACTGTCCGCTCCAGCACTCGGCAGCCCAGCTCCGTCTCCCCGACAGGACGCACCACCCAGGAGCGCCACGGAGCTCTCCCTGCTGAGCCCAAGCCAGGCTCGCAGCTAATCTCTCCGGTCCCTGACGCTGAGCTCCGTTGGCGCGCAGGAAGGGACTCCGGCACCAGCTGCACTATCCCGGATGCCGAACGGCAACTTGGAACAACTTTAAGGTGAGCATCTATCTATCTATCTGTCCCCTCCCCTGAATCCAGGTTCTACTTACTTTCCCGCAACCCTCGCCCCCACCCAATCCCCGCGGTCCTCCCCTCTCCACATCTGCTGGCTGGGTCCATTCAGTTTGGTGGGCAAAGTTGCTGGCACCCGAATCCTGATTACTGCCCCCCCCATCTCTATGACTCTGCCAGAGTGACCTCTCGGGTGTCTCTGCACCCATGCTGCCCTTCTCCTCCATCACCTTCCCCTTCTCAGATCCTACCATTCCTCCAGTCCGTGCGGACTCTGAGCAAGTGGGCAAGCGAGAGGATGCCTCGGCCGGGCCGCAACACTTACAGCGACCAGAAGCCGCCCTACTCCTACATCTCGCTGACCGCCATGGCCATCCAGAGCTCTCCGGAGAAGATGTTGCCGCTCAGCGAGATCTACAAGTTCATCATGGACCGCTTCCCCTACTACCGAGAGAACACGCAGCGCTGGCAGAACAGCCTGCGCCACAACCTCTCCTTCAACGACTGCTTCATCAAGATCCCGCGGCGTCCGGACCAGCCGGGAAAGGGCAGCTTCTGGGCGCTGCATCCCAGCTGCGGGGACATGTTCGAGAACGGCAGCTTTCTGCGGCGCCGCAAGCGCTTCAAGGTGCTGAAGTCTGACCACCTGGCGCCCAGTAAACCAGCGGACGCCGCACAGTACCTCCAGCAGCAGGCTAAGCTGCGGCTCAGCGCGCTGGCCGCCTCCGGCACGCATCTGCCGCAGATGCCGGCAGCTGCCTACAACCTGGGCGGTGTGGCGCAGCCCTCCGGCTTCAAGCATCCCTTCGCCATCGAGAACATCATCGCGAGGGAGTACAAGATGCCTGGGGGACTGGCCTTCTCTGCCATGCAGCCAGTTCCCGCTGCCTACCCGCTCCCCAACCAGTTGACTACTATGGGCAGCTCTCTGGGCACAGGCTGGCCACATGTATATGGTTCCGCGGGTATGATCGACTCGGCCACTCCCATCTCCATGGCGAGTGGCGATTACAGCGCCTATGGAGTGCCGCTGAAGCCTCTGTGCCACGCCGCGGGCCAGACACTGCCCGCCATTCCAGTGCCCATCAAGCCCACGCCGGCCGCAGTGCCTGCGCTGCCCGCGCTACCCGCGCCCATCCCCACCCTGCTCTCGAACTCGCCGCCTTCGCTCAGCCCTACTTCCTCGCAGACAGCCACCAGCCAAAGCAGTCCTGCCACCCCTAGCGAGACACTCACCAGCCCGGCCTCCGCCTTGCACTCGGTAGCGGTGCACTGACCCAAGAGAAGCTGGGGCTCCCTCTCGGTCACCTCTACACTACCCCTCTCACCACTTCTCCGGGTCCAGCCCTCTCCGACCTAGAACCGCTATCCTGACTTGCCCATTCCACCTTCTTCCTTCAATCCTCTCTCCTAGGAGAACTTTTGGTTTTGAACCCAGAAGACAAACCATAAACTTGCCAGAAGGCGCGTGAAAGTTGTCTTCGCCGGTCCAGGGCACCAGAGAACATAGGGGCTAACCCAAGCCAAACGGCCCCTCCAGAGTCCCAGAAGTGCACTCCCATCCAATAGGCAGGACACCCTGATTCCCTCCTGCGCGGAGAAAACACAAACAAAATGAAAAAGCGCGTCTTCTGAGCTTGCATCGGCGGGGACTCCGCGCAATTTCAAGACCAGAGACACTGCTTGAGAGTGAAGCCCGCCAAAGTTGCAGCTGCACAGCAAGGGCCGGATCTTAGCTCCTGAAAATCTGTGGCCACAGACTCACTAATCCTACGACAGGCTCGCCTCCGCCCTTCAGGCCGGGATGGGCGGAACACGGCTTCCCCAGGCTGCGGCCCAGCCTCCCTGGCTTCTACGGAAGATTATTTTTCTTTCCTTCTGGGTTTTGTTTCCGGTCAGAGGCTCCCTAAGCTGGGAGTGAGGAGAGAGGCTGCTAAACTAGAGGGGACTCTTGTCCTTCACAAATGCAAAACACAGCTAGAAGTCACCGTTATTGTTTACAAAGCGTACGGTTAAAAAAATGTAAACAGTGAACTTGAGCCTCGGCCTGGCTAGGCGGGCGAGGGGGCAGAGTCCTCTTTACAATTACCTGTTGTAATGTGAATGTTTACTCTTCTGGCCAGCTTTGGGGAGGGGGGAGGAAGGGGGAGAATGGGGGAAGTTAATTGGTATGTTAACTTTCTTACTATTTAGAGACCTTTTTAGCTATTTATTTTGATGGGAAAAAAAAGAAAGAAAGAAAAAGAGAAAAGAAACGTGAACTAAGCCCAAAAAAGAAAGCACCTAGGGCAAGTGGGGAAGAATAGATAAATGTACTGGGAACGTGAAGGGGGGGTGGATGTCAACAGAGACGTCCCCGGGACAGATCTTTCTGTTAGAAGAACTTCTCCGTGAAGCTAAAGGGCTGCAAAGGGTTGTAAATAGGAATGATTTACACTGTGTAAAATGCACTTTGGTTTGGTATGTTCCTTTTAGCGTCTTAGGTAATTGACTGAAACAAACAAAAACAAACAGACAAAGAACAACCCGACAGTTGTTCCGGTGTGACCTGCTTAATTTAAAAAAGAAACTGTAGTGTCGTCCAAGCTGTGAAAAAAAAATTTTCCCCTTTTTATTTTCACCTTCCCTGCACAGAATTCGCATGGCATTTTAAATATTGATGTCCTTGTTCCCAGCATGCCCATTTTAAGACAGAGTTTTAAAAAGGTGTCTACATTAAATTATGACCTAGTCTAAATAATATTTTCTCATTAAAATATGTAAATTCAAATTTTGTTAAGTTGTGCGTGTTTTTGAAGACTTGCAAACACATCGTCTGGGGGTTTGCCATTTTTAAATCATGCTGTGCAAACAGAGAAACCTCATTCGCCTTTGCAGGTGTGTGTGTGGGAATTATCCTAGGGGGGACCATGGAAGACTTTTGTGCACAGGGGAGAGGGGGAGGCCAAGTATTTCAGATGCAAACCCTGGGCAAGGTGCAGCGCTGAAGGAAGCACTGACAACCTGTGATACTTCCTGTGTCTTAGGCGTGCACTTGCATCCACAGAAGACCGGTGCGGAGTTTACAATGAACTCCCAGGCTGGGTTTCTCAGTCCTTGACCTGACGCCTTCCTCTAGGCCTTTAACACGCTGCCCTGTCGTGGTTGACATTTCCTTTCTCTCAGAAATCACCTGAAGGTTCCCCTTCCAGATCAAGAGATCTGTCTACCTTGCACTGAGTAGATTTCTTCCAGTCCTTCTGGTGAGAATGGGGGGAAGTAACTAGAAGCATTTATTTTCAGGTTGTGAATGAAGTGTCTTTAAACGCCTGCCTCTAACTATTTGCTTTCTTTCGTTTTGTGTTTTTTTTTTTCCCTCAAAGAATTAAAACGTACCAAGAATTTATGGTTCAAGGCTAATTGACACTTGGTTTGAAGGGGGGTCACAATATTTTCAGAGTAAGATGTGTATTCAACTGAAGAAGTTACAAGACAAAGAGAAACTTAAATGGTGATTAACACTTTACTGTGTAAATGATTAAACAAGGGAGCCTTGTGAAAGCCAGAGAAGGCCCCCAAAGACACATAGACACCATGCTGAAGCCCTCCATAAGGAGACCCTTTAACACCTGGCACCGCACAATTAGTAGGCTACCTGGAAAAAGAGCTAGGATTAATGCCAAACAGAATTAATCCTGTTGTGACTATACTATTTTTTAAAAGGGATCCACACACAGCACACACACACACACACACACACACACACAAAGTAGAAAATAAATGAATCACCGAGCTGATTAAAATGCATGAAGCTTCTAAAGCCAGTCAGACAGCGGACAACTAAACTCATTCATCAAACCTAATTCACAATTATATCAACAAGATCAGCCAAAGCAAGCCTGGAAAACGTGGCTACCCTTGGTTAGGAAACTTAGTTCCCCCTAAGAAATTATTTATAAAAAAAGAAAGCTAAATACATTTTCAGTGTCCTGAAAAAAAAAAAAATCAAGACAGCTTCTGGAAGAATCTGATCTCATCCAGTTTCTTAGCACTGGAGGCTGGAACTGAGGCAAAGAAAGGGCTCACGTGGGCCTCTGACATCCAAGAGACTCAGCCAGGTAGACTGGGTCTTGTAGGTGAGTGGCATGTGCACACTTAATATCCATTATACATGGAGGCAGTGAAGTACAGACCTTGTCTCTGCAAACGAGGGAGTTTTGAGTTCAGTGTCTGAAAACGCACTTTCAGTGGCTAAGTTTGGAATGGTGTCCTGAGAGGAATGAAATAACTTGGCCATTAAGAATCCTTCTAGGTTGCAGGCATTTCCCCTCCTCAGTCAAAGCTGAATGAGGAAAGGGAGGAACACAACAACTTTGATGGCATTCTGATTTTGACCAGAAATTTAGCGACTACTGAAACAGACCTGCCTTACCCAGGTCCACACCAGCCATGACCTCAGCTGGGAAACTTGTGTAGATTTAGCTGAAGTTCCTCACACACAAGGAACTTGGTAACTGATGGCTTCCGTGGTTCTCTCTGTCATGTGAGATTCTCCCTTGGCTAGCTAGCATCCAAAGTCGAGACCCAGAGCTTTAAAATCGAGTTGGGTAGGACAGCACCCAGCCTGCAAGGGGAAGGTGGAAAGGGGGCAGGTGGCCTGCATGCAGAGTCCTAATCTAAAAGAAGCTGTATTCTTTTCCCGCTTTGCAATTCCAAGCAGCGATGATTTTCTCACATTGCTTTCCTCTTTGGAAACTTAGTTGTTTTCTTTCTTTCGAAACTTATTGTTTTGTTTCTTTGAGGCTCTTCCAGGTCTTGTATTTAACTATATTTTTAAACAGCTTTCTCCGTGGTTTTAGCAGTGTTTATACAAAAGATGGATTTCTCCCACTTCCTCCCAAGGGAAGTTGCCCGAGTTTCTCACTGACGGGGGCTTTAGGAAGTTGAAGACTGAAAGGAACCCTAAGACGTGGTCCCCAGTGACTTAAATATTAAACCGATGACCTTCATTTCTTCCAATAGTTAAGAATGCTGAGAGTCTTAGAAGCAGCGCACAGGTTCAGAGCTCTGGAGGGTGGGAGCGAGGAAGCTTCCATGTAGGAGTTCTGACCGCTAGGTTTAACCGTATCTCACTCAGTTGTGGCTGCAGTGCAGGACTATGGGGTTGAGGCCTGGGTCAGACTTTTACAAATGGGAACTCCCTTTGTCAGGCGCATTCAGCTGAGAGTCAGAATAGAGTGGGATCCTTTCCTAAATTCTTAATATAAGTGCCAATTAATATCTTTTTCTTATAGAAGCCAAGCAAGGGCAGAGACACCCAAACAAAAACAAAACCAAAACAGCCCAACCCACCGGCTGCGAAGCCTCAAAGGGAATGCATTTGTTTCGTCTAAACTAACAACAAATTATCTAATTAATATGTTTCAATTACAGTGTGAAAGGGACAGCCCCAGGACCTCCCGCCGTGGGGGCACAATAGCCCCAGAGCCCACTGCAGGAATTTACAATAACTGCACATCTGTCTCTTTATTTTCCACTTTTTGAGCCTAAAACTCCTCTCCAGATCACTTCAAACCACGGCTTGAATTATGAAATATGTCCCAGTGTTAAAGGGGGACGAAACTTTGCCCATGGATGCTTCATTTGCAAGCCAAAAAAAAAAGTGAAAGCCCATTGAAGGGCATTAAACAAATATATTAGAATTCTGTCACTTTATGCAATTGAGTAGATCAAATGAAGGGTCCCGGCCACTTCATTCACTCTCATTCACTCGAATAGAAAATGCAAAGAATAGCAACCGAGACTGGGCCACCGCTGTAGACTTAGCTCCTTTTACTGGGAGACAAAAAGGCTGAATTTTCACAAATACATTGCTGACTTGGGGACTAGGAAACGGGGCCTGGAACCCCTTTGGAATTTAAATTCATTTTATCTTCCTCTCTCTTTGCAGGGATCTGTTTGCACTACAGTGTAGAGATGCAGGAGGCATCTTGGGGCTGCTGAAAATAGTGGGGGAGGGGAAGAGAGCGAGTGGGGGGAGGGCAATGTGGATTCCCAGGGAACTAACTCTTGGCTATCACTTAACACTCAGGGCTGAGATAATAAGTTTGCGTTCAGCAAATCTTTGTCTACATCAGTATAAACACCACAACATCACACACATCTCCAGGCTGGGTTATACAAACAGTTTGTTTTCAGACACCAGAGCCTCACATGTGAGCCACCAAGTTTGCTCCGTTCAATGAATATCTGCTCCTTGCTGTCAGGGAGGCTAGGGCAGAGCTTTCCCGCTCCTCTCTCCTCCCTTTCCCCTCTCCTCCTCCCCCTCCCTGCTGGCTACCCAATTTGCTCATGGTGGTGATTAGCTATACCATGC